GATTTAATGGATTTGTGGATTAAGTCCAGGATGAGGTGAGACCTCTGAAAGCTGTCTATATAATCACATCCTATACTTGCTGAAAATCACATGCCAGGAAAATCTTATGAGACAAATCCATATTAGAGTTCTACAGATTTCAGGTGAGGGGTAGTCCCACAAATGTTCTTTTGGAATAGGTAATTTGGAGAGAAATGCATTATTAGCTGTTCACAATACAGCTTGAGGTGCTAATGTCCAAATCACAGGAGAATCAGCCCTACAGAACATTTGGCAAAGTACACAAAATTCCAGAAAGTCTTTATGAAAAAAAAATTTTTTTGTAAGCTAGAAACCAAAATGAGCTATTACACAACAATTACAATGAAATATATCAAGTTATTCTATTTGTAATAAACACCTAGTTTTAGTATTAGTGGAAGAAAATACTAGCAATTAACCAAAGAAACATGAAATTAAGATGGTAGAAAGTTCATTAAAAAGTAACTTATATTGGTCTGATTTAAACTTAATGTCAACTAAGACTATTATGGTAAAAGGTGACTTTCTAAGTAAAAACGAACCAAAATGAGTTTATTTGGTTAGACAGTTTCCACCTTTCTATCTCCTTTATCATTACGGTATAATTTTTCATTAGCTGCATCTGGCTTACTTTAGAGGTCAGTTGTCTGGAACATACTTCCTTTTATGCTGTCTCAAAAACAGATCTCCTAAAACAGTATTAGAAAGCTCTTACTTAAGATGGTTGCAAAGATTAACCTTAATTTTGGCCAGTTTAATCCTGTCTGAATTTGGCTCAATGATAGGACAACAGCTGTGTTTATAAGATCAAAGTTTTATGTTTAACCACCATTAGAAGCAAAGATGCCAGCAGCATTTATTGTCTTTTACTACATAGAAATAGAAACTCAATTCGTTACAGCATTATAGATGCAGTTGGTAGAAATGAATATTTCATAAATTTTTAAATCAAATTGTAAAGGCTGAGAAACTTGGTGGTCTCCTCAGTACTTACCACTGTTCATGTGGATTTTATAAGCTTACATTAAGTGTTACAAGTCTCAAGGTAGAGCATCTTGTCAAAAATTAGTTCAAAAGGCAAACAGCTATATAACAAAGACATAAGTTGCACAGAAATAAGCTGATCGAAGGAAATTTTTAGACAGACATCACTTGATTCTACATTAGGGCAACAATTTTTTTTTTTTTTAAATTAAGGTAGTTCAAAGAACAGATGAAAAGGTCACAAAGTAGATTAAATGCTTTTGATTTTCCATGAAATCTGTGCCCAATGCATGCAAATGGAAGTGCTTATGAGTTTGATTAATGGATATATCATAACGTGTGTTTTTTTGGCTTTTGTGAAATAAGATCTTCAAAGCTGATACATTAATTATTTTGTGGTGTTATTGTGATTAGGTAACAAATGGTTGCTATAAATTAAAATCATGTTAATAAAAAGTTCTACTCACATTTTAAAGGTCATTATTTCTTTAAATGTGTAATTAGGAACAAGTGTTAATTGTTTTGAAATTCTTTTCAAATGCCTGTTAAGATAACTGTTTTTGAATCAGCAAGGTGTTAAAATTAAAGAAACAAGAGTGTCCTCTCCTGTCCTTTTTACTGAGCACACAGTTTGATAAAGATATAGTGGAACACAATGCTGCTTCTGAGGACCTGACCAAGCTCTCAGGAGGAGTGTGTGGAAATGAATAATAATTATCACTTTTATTTGGCAAATTTTATTTGAGCCCAGAGCTAAGGCTACTACTTCTATGGAATAAAGTTGGGTTAAACTGAGTTTAACTTTTAGAGGTATAGAAAAACATGGAAGATAGTCTAGAGCCATACTTTTTCTCTCCTAAAAACGATGAAAATCAGTCTTGGGCACAATATTGCCTCATAACTTCCCAATCAGCATTTCTGGGACAATGTCAGATTTTGGACAATTACAAAAAAACAGATACAAATGTGCAAACCAGATTTCAATTTCTTCTCCACTGACATGAGATTTAAAACAGCAACAGAAACATTTCTGGGTCAGTGTCAATACGCAGTCACAAATTACCAAAGTAAGAAACAAATTGGAGTGCATGGGTGTGTGCTTTTGTGTTTTGGCATGTGAGAGATATTGAAATATTCACAACATAGAAGCCAAATCATAAAAATGAAATGGAACTTATAATCCCATCATTCTGAAAAAGTAAGATTTAGCTCTGACATCTTGCAGATTTGTGATATCCTGACTTTTGCTTCAATAGTCCTAAATAATACAAGTTTTAGAACATAAGTACAACTTTTTCTCTTTGATGTTTTAAGTGAAGCATCCTGAGGAAAACTTAAATTACAACAGAAATTTAGACATATTTATAAACAAACATGGAAAAACTAAAACCAGGACACGCAATGTGAAATATCTCATGTTATCATCAGGAATTAGAAGTGACGACCAGTAACTAATTCCTCATAAATACTTCCTCCTGTCTTAGTATAATTTAAACATATTTCAAAGAACAAAGTTTACTAAGGAAAAAAAATCACTATACAATTTCAAAATAAACAAAATAGAGTTTAACAACAAAGTGTAGTTGGAAAATGGTCCTGTAGCCTAATTTTACGATCTAAAGAAAATAAAGAGGTTAGAGTTCTCAATGCTTACACAGGATAAAGTACATTTCACTCCTGAAACTAACAGGTAAAGGCAACCCTCTCATTTCTTGAGAATGTCTTATCTTATAGTCACTATATTAATTCACAAATGGAACCACCATTTTCTTCTCTTTGAGGATAACATTTCCTGTCTTTTTGGCATAACCACATACAATCATCATGAGTTATTGATTTCCAACACAGCTTCCCCTACTGCAAGATACAGAAATCCTACTGGGTAATCTTTTTTTTTTTTTTTTTTTTGAGATGGAGTCTCACTCTGTCACCCAGGCTGGAGTGCAGTGGTACGGCCTTGGCTCATGGCAACCTCCGCCTCCAGGGCTCAAGAGATTCTCCTGCCTTAACCTCCCGAGTAAGTGGGATCACAGGCAGGTGCCGCAATATCTGGCTAATTTTGTTTTTGCATTTTTAGTAGAGATGGGGTTTCACCATGTTGGACAGGCTAGTTTCGAACTCCTGACCAAAAGTGATCTGCCTGCCTCAGCCTCTGAAAGTATTGGGATTACGGGCATGAGCCACCACACCCAGCCCTATTGGGTAATTTCATCGGACAACTTTTCTATTTTGGGTAAGACCTTATTCCAGAGAACCCATTTCTTATATATCCAAGCCCAACATATTCAGCTCCCTAATTTCCATCCCTAAATAAAACCCACCACTTCCTACATCAATTTTTTGAAGTATATGACAACCATTTTGAATACACCGGCCTTAGGGATGACTTTATTTCTTGGATATACCCTGAAATGATAATTTTTTTTTTTTTAAGAGTCACTATTGAAAGCCCTTTGGCTATCCTGATACTTTTAGGAATCCTTGCCCCATCACAGAGACTCTTAAAGAGAACCATGCCAAAATTCCCTGCTCTTTGCTTTTTCCTTTGTTAGTTCAAAATCTTCTAACAAAGGGGTAAATGAAACAATTTATATCATTTGGTTATAATATCTTACCGTATTAAATAATTGACCTGGAAATTGCTATGAAATTTTTCATCTGTACTTTTAAGCATGTAAAAGTTGAACCCAAACATCTACATGATTATAAAATTTCACTGAATTCTTTAATTACCTAGAACATTCTCCTATCTCTTAAAAATATGTTCTTGATTTTGTAAGATAATTATTTTGAGACACTTTACGAAAACTTGAGTAAAAAATATTTATTGGCATTAATTAAACATAAATCTCTAAAACCTCAAAAATAAGACTTACTCATCTCTGAAATAAATACACATCTCTAAACCGTGTGACAGACACATAGTAGGTATTTTCTTTCACCTTTATTTAATCCTTACAGCAACTCCACAAAACAATGATTTCTATCTGCATTTTACAAGAGGAAATGAAGCTACAGAGAGGGCATTAACTTACAGGAATGGACAGTTTGTCAAAATGTATTGAATTCTATATATGACTGATAAGCAGAACCATAATTTTATATGCTTCTGTCTGTATCACAATGTATTCCAAAAATGTGATACAGCTGTCTTAGGTAATGTTGATTTTTAATGATTTTTGAGAGGGTGAATACAGTTCCATTGTCACTAGGTCCCATCTCAAAAACATTTGAGTTGCTTGGTAAGAACAGTGAAGATTCATAAAAGAGGCTGTTAAAAAGGTATACACTAGAAGTCATTTTTCAAGGTAAGTTTTATCCCATATTTCAGATGTTCTAAGACTGTTAAAACACCTAGTCCAAAGGAATCTGCATAAACAGGGTTGAGTAATGTAATCAATCACATATTTAAGAAACTAAAGACCACTTTTTACATTGAGTATACATACACATATATATATACTCAACAACCACTTCAAGAGTACCCTAAGAGATTTTTTTTCTTTTGAGAGAGTGTTACTCTGTCATGCAGGCTGCAGTACAGTGGCACGATTTTGGCTCACTACAACCTCTGCCTTCCAGGTTCAAGTGATTCTCCTACCTCAGCCTCTCAAACTATGCTTGGCTAATTTATTTATTTATTTATTTTTAGTAGAGATAGAGTTTCACCATGTTGGCCAGGGTGGTCTCAAACTTCTGACCTCAAATGATCCACTCCCTTCAGCCCCCCAAAGTGTTGGGATTACAGGTGTAGGCCACTGCACCTGGACTTTATTCTCTTTTGATATATGTTTGTGACCCTGAGAATTAGAATTCTACACTCAAAGTATAGAAGACAGGATACACTTTGAATACTCCTTTTTTGATAAACTCAAAAAGCATTACTTTTCCTTAGTTATTTCTTCTCTGGAGCTGAGCTGCTGAGTCAATATATAGTTTTATAAGATGATTTAAAAAGATATATATGTATACACACAAAGAACAGAGTAGGAAAATAATTTTTCAAACCATGAATATTTTATGTAATAAAAGCAACTGAGACATTTTCTAAAGTATACAGTCTATTTGATATAAAAATAAGAAATTCTTCAAAATGTGTATTAAAAATACAAAGTTTGTGACTCTAAGGTACAGAGAAAACTTTATACTTCAGTCACCCAAAACAACAGCTTGTGGTCTCCTCCAATTACACACAGAGGGAGAGTTCGATGCCAGGAGAGGCCAGATCCAACGGGTACAGAACCCACAAGGACGGGCTATAAAATATGTGAAGAATTCAAGAAGCACAATAAGTCCCCAAAATTAATAAATCAAAATGACTTTCAAAAATATGAAATGCACTGATAAATTATCTTTGTAGCAGAAACAAAATTTAAAAATATTTTCCTTTACAGGTGAAATACACATTATTGATATGCAGCTGGAATATGGGATACAATCCATCTATGAATAACTGGTACAGTCCAGACTCCATTTTTGCTGTTGACACCAACCAAACAAGCAAAATTAATGTATTTAAATAAAGAAGAAAATATAAAAGCAACAGAAAAAATAAAAAGCTTCTTACATGAATATTGGCCAAAAAACCTGTTGTCACTGGTAATGTAAACATCAAAATACACACAAAAATAAAAAACAAATTAAGTACCTTTTCTTGCAATTTAAACAGATAACAGATACAAATGCTTTTAGTTAACAAATGACAAATTTAGACCTATGAGTGGAAAAGTCAAAAACACAAATTAAGAAAAGCACATATGTTACAAAACATTTCCACATTACCTGAGGATGTCCTAAATGATGAATTTGAAACTGGCTTGCCATTTTGCCAGGATAACCAGTGGTTGCAAACAGATTTTCACTAACAGTGGACCACCTAAGAAATAAGGAAGCATAAAAGTAAGTATCGTATCCTACAGATAACTACAAGCTTTTCTGAAGTGGGTTTTTTCTTTTTCTTTTCTTTTTTTTTTTTAAAGAGACAGGGTCTTGCTCTGTCACCTAGGCTGGAGTACAGAAGTGCTAACAAAACTCACTGTAGCCTCAAATTCTTGGGCTCAAGTGATCTTCCCACCTCAGCCTCCCTAGTAGCTGAGACTATAGGTGTGTACCATGAGGCCCATGTAAGTTTAAATTTTTTTATTTTTTGCAAGAATGGGGTCTTGCTACCTTGCCAAGGCAGGTCTCAAACTCCTGACCTCAAGTGATCCTCCTGACTTGGTCTTCTGAAGTGCTGGGATTATAGGTGTCAGCCACAGCACCTGGCCAGAAACAGGTTTCTTTTTGTATAAAACCAGTGATTTTAATAATCCTAAATTTGTTCATATGTCTTCATAATTAGACTGGGAATTCCAGGAAAATATTCCATAAATATTTTCTCATACTTTAAAATATTTATGAAGTGCTTATTTTGTGTCACTTCATTAAGTTCCAAAGTTACACAAGGTTAATAATCCTTTTTTTCACAACCCAAAAGGCTAACAGTGCGTGAGAAGACACAAATAAGGTATCAAATATGACAGCCATTCTGTCCCTTTTCCATGCTAAGTGAACCCCAACTTTGTTCGGGTGTCCAACCCCAAGGGATGAGACACAATTAGTTTAAGGCAGTCACAGCAATCTCCCATAAAAAAAGAGGGTTCCTTCATCTCCTTTTTTTTTTTTTTTTTGTTTAATTGTTCTGCAAATGGAGTAATTCTCTTATGCCTGAACTCTCACAGCCATCCAGTGACTGTGAAGCAACAAGCCCCAAATCCTTGCCACTGAGAATAGCAGAGGGAAAGGATAAAAAGGATCTGTGAATTCTTGATGACATTGATGAGCTGCTAAACAAGCCTGGAGACTACCTACAGACTTAAGTACTATAGCTCACTGATTTTAAAATTGATGTATACTTGCTCATTGGTGTATACTTGTTCACATCTCTAAAGTCAGGATGTATCTTATAATCCATGGCATTCTTAAATTTAGTCGAATGTATTTTATTCTCAATAATGATATCCCCAAGTTCTACAATTTTATTGGGGATATTTTAGATTTGCTGGAATACAGCATATTTTAGATTTGCTAGAATACAGAATATGCTATATTCTAGCAAATCTAAAATATCCCCAATAACTGGTTTTAGTCTCCTATTTGGTTTGGCTGTTACTTAAAAAGCAGAAATAATAGCTTAATGACCACACTATACAATGGAGTATTATGAAAAAGAACAAGGCAGATATGTATGTTAAGTGAAAAGTAAACACACGTTGTGGTGATATGCTATCTAGCATGACTTAATTTAACACACAACAATAAGTTCATATACATGAACATGGGCTCCCCTACATTTACATCCTTAACAGCACAGAACAATCAGGAAGCATAATATATTCCAAATTGTTGGGGTGGTAGTGGTGAAGTGGTTACATGTTTTTTTGTGTAAAGAAAATATTTGGGAAACAAATCAACTCCTTGTCTAGACCAAAAGAAAAAAGCAATGACTTAGCTGGGAAAGTAAAATAACCACTTATAAAATAATCACGGAAAAAAAGAATCCATTGCAAAGGAGACAACTACACAAGTATACCAGTGGTGGCACAGCACAACATCAAAAGATCAAATCAAAGCTCCAACAAAAACGGTATTACCTGAATAAGCAGGCTCGATCCATGTGAACAGGTCTCTTAGTTTGAGGATAACTAAAAGATAGTATTTTGCATTTTATGAATTCTGTATTAGACTCAAGAAGATGAACTTAAACTAAGATTTTAAAGGTATTTTCTCTTTATAGGACAGAATGTCCAATGTGTTTAAACTATAATACATCCTAAACAAGCAATCAGTTAAAACATGGAATACAATAAAGACACGACTTAGAACCACTACAGGGAACCATTATGCAACAAGTTTGGTGTTTTTTCCTATTTTCCAATATAAGTAAACATTGCACAGACCCACAATTTCCTCTTTTGCACTGTCCTTTCTGGGTTATTCCCAGAGTAAATTTGCATAGCAAACTTATGTTAGGTAAAAATCCATAGATCTGGCCTTCTATAGGAGAGACTTCTTTTTGCTTGACAATGTAGTCCCAGGTGTAACAGGATGGCCAAGTGGATCATTCAGCAAAGTTACTTTTCTTCTGTACTAGACAAATATAATCAAGAAAGTACCTGGACCGAGTAATATCCCAAATTAACCAATCATTTCCTGCAACAGCTCCAACTTTGAAGGTGTTTTTTAAGCACCAGTGTGCTGACATTAATGGCACTTGTTCTGATTCAAGAGATAAAATAGCCTGTTGAGCCATAAGATCATAAAATCGGATTGTTCCATTCTTCTCTGCAACCATCAGCTATAAGAAAAAAAAAAAAGAAAAAGAAACTCAGTCCCTTATCTCATTAACTATACCTGAAATGTGAGCAGATTCACTGTTACATGGTAAAATACAGGGTGGAGCATTCCTAATCCGAAAATCTGAAATGCTCCAAAAACGGAAACTTTTTGAGTGCCGACAGGATGCCACAGGTGAAAAATTCCGTATATAAGCACGTAACACAAACTCTGTTTCATGTGTGAAATTATAAAAAAAGTTATATAAAATTATCTTCAAGTCATGAGGTACATATGAGACATAAATGAATTTCATGTTTAGACATGGGTCCCATTCCCAAGATATCTCATGCATATGCAAATATTACAAAATACAAAAAAATCCCAAATCTGAAACACTGCTAGTTCGAAGAATTTCAGATAAGGATACTCAACCTATATTATAAATGAAGGATCAAATGTAAAGGAAGTAAGAGGCTATGTAACAATCTCCAAAAAATTCCCTAAGATGAAGTGAAGAGAGTGAGACAGAGTTTAAGTAACTTATCAGAGATCACATAGCTAGTAAGTGGTAAAATTGGGATTTGACTGCAGGCAGTTAACTCTTAACTCACTCTTAACCACTTCTCTGTATTCTAGGTTTCTGAGTTTAGAATCTATACCAGTGATAGGATGAAACTGGTATCTTAAGACTCAGTCTAGTAGGCAAGAAGGATCAAAGAGTAAAGAGCAAAAGACTTTAGAAACAAGCTAACGCTTGGCAAGATAGGCAAGAGAACAGAACAGGGGAGAATGCACCTTAATGAAGAGAAGAATGCCAGAGTTAGTGAAATGAAGAAAAAATTAAAAGACCTGGAATAGTTTCTGTATAGGAAAAGAAGGAATTAAAGATGATTTTAGGATTCTAAGTTTATGTGATTTAAAACAGGGACTTTCAAGCATTCTGAAGTCATGGTAACATTATAAAAAATAATGGCAAGAAATTAAGCATTAAGGTGTAAGTTTGGGGACAGAATTTGTAATAAATGTTCTCACTTGTCATGCAGGTCATAGTTTTTAAAAAGCAGTCTATTGTTATATGTGGTGATATTAACATTTTGGTAAAAACTGTGACTATTCTTTAATTAAAGGAGACTCACTGTTCTAGGGAAGAAATGTAGGCATAAAACAAAATTTAGGAACTGGATTCAGAAATAAACCTATCAATTTAGTAAGTTAGAACATTTCACTCATGCACATATGCAGAGTAAAATTCTACAGATGAAAAACTCAATGGGCCTGAAACAAATTTCCATGAAATCTCAGGGTTCAGAGAACACACTTACATATGATCTGGGGATTATCTCCTCTGTGAAAACTGTGAGAAGATTTGGTTAATCCTTCTTCATGTCATCATCCTACTTAATAGATTTTTTGATTCTAAAACTTATTATTTGTATTGCTGTGTTTACGTGTTTTCCTTCCTTATATATCAGTATACAACTTAAGAGCAGGGACTTTGTTCATTCTTTTGTTCCCTATTACAATAAAGGGTATAGTGTAGGTGAGAACTCTTGAAGCAATTCATAAACATCCGATGAAAGAAAAGTTGGCAGAGTATAAAGAGAAAGGGAACATATATGCAAAGTTGCTCAAGAGGACTCGGGAAATGCGGCTTTAAATATCAAACTAGCAGAGTTTTAAGAAGGAGGTGATCTGCAGTGTAAAAAAACTGGCTGAAGAATAAGAATGAAGAAAAAGGCCATGGGATGTGATGAAAATATTCCTGTTACCTTCTGAGAGAGTATGGAGACTGACTGAGATTGCAGAGTTAGACCAAGGGATGGGAAAAGAAGAAATGAATTTAAAAGATATAAGTGATGGAGTCAAACACTTAGAAATAAAAGGTGTGATGAACATAGTTTAAAATTTAAGGGGGAGGTGGAAAAATGTAATTTTTAAGAGAAAGAACTATGGAGCTGGGCTGCATGAATGCAAATGCCAACTCTTCCACTTACTAGCTGTGTGACCTTAGATAATTTATTTAATTTCTCTGAGCCTTAGTTTCCTTATCTGTAAAATGGGGATAATCACAGTACCTATCTCATGCTACCAGGAGGAACATACATGAAATGCTGACTATGGGCCTGTCAGAAGCAAGCACTATCAGAAGCAAGCATGATTACTGAAACTTATCTTCTTGTGCAAACTTGAGGACAAACAGATAGAGAAAAAGCATGAAGATGGCCAGGTGCGGTGGCTCAGCAATTTGGGAGGCTGAGGTGGGCAGATCACTTGAGACAAGGAGTTTAAAATCAGCTTGGGCAACATGGCGAAACTCTGTCTCTACAAAAAGTACAAAAATTACCAAAGTGTAGTGATGCATACCTGTAGCCCAATACTCAGGAGGCTGAGATGGGAAGATCACCTGAGCTCCGGACGTGAAGGTTGCAGTGAATGAAGAATGCTAGAGTTACTGGAAATGAAACTATCAAGCATGGCCCTAAGTTGAGCCATGGGCAACAGCCAGACTCTGGGCAACAGCCAGACTCTGTCTCAAAAAAAAAAAAAAAAAGTATGAAGACTTTAGAGGACTGTAGGAGCCTAAGGAACTGCCATGAACTTTAGAGAACAGATGAAGAGTTAGCTTTTTAAGAAAGATGATAGTGGTAACTTCTCAGATTCCAGGCAAAGATGCAATAAATACAGTGATGACCAGGAGAAAATACTGGCAAATGAGAGAATTCTTGTTTAATGGCTCCTATCTTCCCAATGAATCAGCATTAAGGGTAATTGATAATAAAAACTTGTAGTGTATTTTTAGTATTTTAGAAAGCTTTATTTTGAATAGGAATTGGACACTACTGTAGCTAAGAGAAATTTGCCTTATGCCACTAACGTTTTTGTTAACAGACTAGGGCTCACAAGTGTGGATGATGTAAATTTTTTTTTTTAAAAAAACTGTTTATTGGGCCAGAAAAGGTGGCTCATGCCTGTAATCCTGGCACTTTGTGAGGCCAAGGTGAGTGGATCATCTGAGCTCAAGATTTCAAGAGCACCCTGGGTAAGATGGCAAAACCACAGCCCTACAAAAAATACAAAAAAATTAGCCAGGTGTGGTGGTATGTGCCTATAGTCCCAGCTACTCAGGAGGCTGAGGTGGGAGGATTGCTTGAGACGGGGAGGCAGAGGCTGCAATGAGCCAAGATCACACCATTGCACTCTGACCTGGGTGACAGAGTGAGACCCTGTCTATAAAAAAACAAAAACAAAAGAAAAACCAAAACAAACAAAAAAAAAACCCGGCCTACTGCTACTAGATCGTGGAACACCAGTTTTTGTACTGAAATCCACTAAAAGTCAGGAAAAATGTAGTTTGAATAAAGGCCATCTATGGATGATGGCTGCCAAACAAAAACCTTAACAATTATAGAGAAACTTTTACAGTACAGGTTTCTAGACTAATCCAAATGCATTTATGCTGATTAGTACCTCTGAGATGGGAAAAACCACTGATTTTTCTCCTCTATGTATGTGATGTCTTATATCTCTATATGTCTTTTCCATCTGATAAAAGAGAGTTAAATTATACATAATTACCTTATAAGTTTCCTCAGGATGCCAGCACACACTCATGCCAGGAGAATGAAGAACAAAATGAGATGTCTGCACTCCTTCTAAGGTCCAAATCCTAACAACATAATAACAGTATAATGTTAATTGTTCTTGATATATCATTACTAAAAAATTAAATTTCCGTGAATTTATTCAAAGCTATTAACTACAGATTATAAGGCAGACATCTGTACTTAATGTATATCTTTTAAAGAAAATTATAATAACACTTTTAAATAATATGAAAGTAGTATGAAGAATTTAAATTTTATCATACTCAATCATGGACAAAAGAGTCACAGACGTTTTCCCTCTAATTAATCCAGCACAGTAACACTGTTACATGGTAATCAAATTGAATTATCTATATATTCTTTATTTTGTGGGCAAAATCTTGAGGTGTCTGGGTCACTAATCAGGTTGTCTGACTACTTTAGTAGTCATTTCGATTGACGATAATTACTACTGGGGTGCTTATAAACACACAAGCATGCATGCACACAGAATAACCACATACAAAAAAGATAAGAAGTTATTAAAATTTAGCAACATAGCCATCTTCCATATTGCTTATTCCTTCTACCTTTAGGATTCCAAGCCAGTGGATACTTCCAATTTATACCTTTTGTAATTTGGCTTACTTCTCCAGTTTTCTCTCCCCAAGTTGGCCATAGTTGATAGCTACCTGATTAAAGCTGGGTTGAAAGAACAGCCACTTGGTTCCTCCTATTCTCTCTTTCCTCAATAGTTACAAATTCATAGTAACAAGGACCAGGTTTTTCACCAACATGGCTCTCCATTTCAATTGCTTTACCATCTGTAGAAGGGGGATCAAGACTCAGAAATCTGAGTCATGGCACTAAGTTGTGAGAATTGCTATTCTTCACCCACTGCTCCTTCTCCATACTCAGCCACTGTTACAATGCACTGGCATGTAGCACAGAGTATAGCCGGTGACAGAAGTTGGTGGGAGGCTGGCAAAGTGTACACAGAATTCTGATCCTTAAGAACTGAACTTGACTGGGCACTGTAGCTCCTGCCTGTAATCCCAGCACTTTGGGAGGCTGAGACAGAAGATCGCTTGAGCCCAGAGTTCAAGACTAGCCTGGCGAACACAGTGAAACTCCATCTCTACAAAACACAAAAAATTGGCCAGGCATAGTGGCGCACACCTGTAGCCCCAGTTATTACTTGGGAGGCTGAAATGGCAGGCTGACGTGGGAGGATTACTTGAGTACAGGAGGTAGAGGCAACAGTGTACCATGTCTGCACCTCTGCACTACAGCCTGGGTGACAGAGAACCTATTTCAAAACAACAAAAACAACAGCAACAACCCAACAATAAAAAAGAACTGAACTCATTCACTGGAATTTTTCTTCTGGTTTTACAGTTTACATCTCATTAGGGACCAAAAAAACAGGTTTAACCAATTTCAGGAATTTATTTTCAATGTGCAGGCAAAAATTCATTTTAAAGAAGGTAGAATATGTATTGGATGATGCTACTACTCTGTGCCAAAACGTATTACTTCAAATACTCTTCTTCTTTGTAGAAATTATTCGGTCTCCAAATATTGAAATATCAGTTACATATAAACTAACACAAATGTTTTTCAAAATGATTATTTTTATGATTAAACAATTTAGAAGCATACTGTTTTCTTGCCAAATCAATACTTTTCATCTGTAGTTATTATATAAGGGAGACAATTACAATTTAATTGAAGAGAGGAATCACATTTAGCAAGAGTTTATGCAACTATGTTTCGCTCCCCACGATGAATCAGATTATTAATTATGGCAACTGATTTAGTATTTCTTCTCTATTGCCTTTTGCAAAATAAAGTACTGAGCTAGCATATATTTCACCAATATTGAAATAGGAGAAATTTGTCTTGAAAATTCTGCAAGTCTCATGAGAAGACGGTTTAAAACTTTCATTCTTTTGATCTTATTCTAATATGTATTGGATTTTTGTTGGCTATAATATAAATTGAGTAAATATATTCCAAAATATTTTCATGATTTTTTTCTTTCAAATGAAGGAAACAAAAGAGGGAGAAAATATGGATAAAAATACTAGATAAAAACTGTTCAGTTAATAAAGTGTATTCCTGTCCAATGAACCAAAGTTTTACCTAATTTTTAAACAGTATTTTACCCTGAAAAGAGTAAGAAATTTAAGAAAAAATACGAAACAAAAAAATCCCCTGACTTAAAAATGAGGAGGGTGATCCAGATAACTTTAAAGGGACTGGGATAAAATGATTCATAGTTTATAGTTATATGCTTATTCAATAATTCTTAGTGGCTACACAGTCCAAGTACTAAGTATGTAAAATACAAAAAATTGGGCTAAAACTAGTTATCCTAACTAAATTAGCTACAGATGGTATAATTTAAGTTGTTAAGTTTTATTTTCCTTTTTGATAGATTCCTTAATTAAGTCCTTCTCAAATCCTTTTGTGGAGCTCAGCTCATTTTTCTGTGTCTTTACTACAACACTCATCTAGTTAATATTACTTACATGAGACAAAGTCACTTTTTTTTTTTGGATGTTTGATGTATACCATATGTAATAAAAGTATACAAGCCTTAAATGTACAATTCAAAGAGAATATACTCAAAAAGAATTGCGCCTAAATCAAGAAACAGTATTTCCAAGATTCCAAAAGTTGTTTTGTGCTCCCTTCCAGTTATACTTCCTTGCTCTCTCACAAAAGGTACCCACTATCCTGACTTCAATTGGCATTGCTTACTTTTGCCTATTTCTGAACATCATAAAAACAATGTCCATTTTCATATGTTACGTATTTTCTTGGTCTGACTTCTTTTACTCATCATTAGGTTTTGTGAGATTTACCACCATTGTTGCATGTTGCTGTAATTTGTTTTTTCTTATCACCTTATATAGTCTTCCATTAACTCAGTACACAACAACATATTTATTCATTCTACTGCTGATAGACATTTAGGTTGTTTCCAGTTTTTGATCATCACCAAGAATGTTGCTAGAGGCTTTCTTGCACACGTCTTTTAGTGAATATAGATACCCACATACAATCACATACACAAACACACTTGCGGGGTACAAATCTAGGCATGGAATTGCTAGATCACAGCTTACACATATATTCAACTTTGGCAGGTAGGTATCATCAAATAGTTTTCCAAGTTGGCTGCACATCATATTTCCTTTTCTCCTCCCATATTTAATTACAAGTAGAAAAAGCCAAAACTTTCTCCTATTTTCTGACAAAAACAGTCTTAATCACGTATGTGAATGGCAATGGGTACAGTTTTTGAGGTGGTCTTATTTTATAAGGTAGATTTCTCAATTCATCTTTTTTTTTTTTTTTTTGCATTTTATTTTCATGTATCTATGTATGGACAAATGTGCCTAAGTTTTAAAACAGGCGTCCCCAAACTTTTTACACAGGGGACCAGTTCGCTGTCCCTCAGACCGTTAGAGGGCTGCCACATACTGTGCTCCTCTCACTGACCACCAATGGAAGAGGTGTCCCTTCCTGAAGTGTGGCGGGGGGCCGGATAAATGGCCTCAGGGGGCCACATGCGGCCCGCGGGGCCATAGTTTGGGGATGCCTGTTTTAAAATGTGGTAAACACAATTTACAGTAGAATCTCTCTTAACTGACTCTGACATTTTTTTTTTTTCCTTTTTCCCTCTATAGAAGTGATGGGAATGAGAAGGCTATTTCCTAATATGCCCACATGTGCATCTGTGGTATGTGTACAAAGAGAGAATACAGCTTCTTTGCTTAGCAAATCACTGTATGTGACGTAAACCCATACTTATTAATGTAATTACATAATATTATATAAACTGACAAAATACAAATATGAAAGAGCTATTTCAATGAAACTAAGTCAATGCAATCTAACTAAAGGTAACTTTCTAAAAGAAAAAAAACTCACCCAACTTAGGTTTGTGTGACAGTTATAAAAGATTAAATAATAAAAATTATAAAAATCTAGATTTATTCTGAATTAAGACTGCTTTCCTAAGTGCTATTTTCATTAAAGATGTTGTATTCTGATCATGCTTCATGCAAAAAAAAGTGGTCCCAAGCCAATCAATGGACTCATAACCGAAGGAAAAAAAGCACTGGCCTAATATCAAAAGACTGGCAAGCGGTTTTTAATATACATGGGTTATATATTAAAATAAAGCAGGTAGCCATTCTTTTACAACAATTTCCTGAGTTTAGTGACTTTTTGTTATCTAAGAAACTTTTGGTCTAGACCATGTCAGACGATAGGATTTCTACTATAACAGAAAAAAAAAAATCAAAATTTGAAAATTCTGGTTTTAATATTTCCAAAATCATTATTACTGAAAAGTCAGTTATAACCACAGAAGCACATTTTTCAGGAAAGTGGTGCATCACAGAAAAAGAAATGCTTTAAAAGCTCACAGCCAGCTGGGCACCATTGCTCACACCTGTAATCCCAGCACTTTGGGAGGCTGAGGCAGGCAGATCACATGAGGTCTGGAGTTTGAGACCAGCATGAACAATATGATGAAACTCTGTCTCTACTAAAAATACAAAAATTAGCTGGGTGTGATAACAGGTGCCTGTAATTCCAGCTACTGTGAGGCTGAGGCAGGAGAATCGCTTGAATCCAGGAGGCGGAGGTTGCAGTGAGCTGAGATTGAGCCACTGCACTCCAGCCTGGGCGACAGAATGAGACTCCATCTCAAAAAAAAAAAAGAAACAGAAAAACCCCCAAAATCAAAAAACAAAAAAACAACCCTGCCCCAGTCTTCATAATAAAGACAATTAAGCATATGAAAAGATGATAGATCATTTATCAAAGCATAAAAGTATAAAATAAATCCTATCAGGTTTAATTACCTTGGGCAAAACCTAGGATCTATATTAATATACATATATACATATTTAAATGTTTGCAAGGGAAATTTCAAATGAAAAACTTTTATGGCAAAGTTAATGTGCTGATGAATTAGGAAGCCAATACAGACTGAATCAAAGGGCACTGGGTAAGTACAGCATCACTCCTCAAATGAAATAAAATGACAGTTTTCATGCAATTT